CAGACACTGACAAGAACTTCGCTTCTCGCTTCTAAAACTTGGGAGTTTTCAGGCGTTCACAATAGTTCGTAAGAAGATACATGCAATCAGGTCGTAGGTGGCGTAGAGGCAAAGCAAACGTGAAGTGATTTAGTTCCACGTACAGCCACGACATTGGCAATCAGGACTACTACTGCCATAAGATCACGATTTTATATCTAACCGCGTTCGATTGATAACAGGCTCATCTTACAAGATCAGAAAACTATACTGAATTTTTGTTAGATCATGCTGTCAGTTGGATAGAATGATGAGGAGGATTCCAAGTGGATGGAAGGAGCAGAGATCTGTATCAACATGTCTTTATCTGCATTCGGGCCAATTTCCCGGAAGTGTCTTCTTTGCAAAGCAGATGGGATGATAATGGATTGGAGCGTTTTCTCGAGGTTAAATGATGATAAAAGTGTCTGGATGGCTGTTCAAATTCAGACTTAATCTTCGAGCAAAATACCGGGATTCTTTTGAGAAGTGATATGTGCAACCAAAAAGAAATTCAAATCGTCTGTTAGCGTTTTTCCTGTGCCGATGGTAAAGGGATGTCTAGATGAAGCTCCGTTAACCAAACGAGGACAAGTGACGCCTTTGTATTGTAAGGCGGAAGGAGCACGTTGCCTGTAGAGCACAAGCACCCGATCGAGTCTCGACGACGGGTCGGCCTTCGCCGCCATCAAGTACACGTCGCTATGGAACGGATTCTCCTGAGAGCGCTGTCATTGATGAGGAACAACTTATTTTTTAATTAATTTTTTTTTCTACTCTTACCAAAAGTTGAACCAAACCTACAAAGCAGATCCCACGCGCTTGTCCTCCTTTGTATCTATCCACTTGTGGCGGGTCAACACCGAAACGTCGAGTTACTCCTCTCTTAAGAAGTAACATTTTGACCATAATCAACAATCCAGCTTTTGCACTTCAATTTTCAAATCTTTCTCGGTGAAATGCGTATTTCGTTCCTTACACCTCGATCCGAGCCATTGCAATGAATTTCGATAACCACAACTTGGCCTGACCGGATCCGCGTGGCTTAATGTCTAAGGTTTACTTGATCGTTAATTTTCATTGCGGAGACATTAGGTGTAAGCTACTTACTAATGCTTATTTGAAAAAACTGTGATGTCGCAGTAGTGCCAATCAGTGGGTGAGCCAATTTGTGTCCAATTGTAATTACTTCACACCTTCCTCGCCCATCCACTCACTCGCCTGGGGGGAGACCTTCCCTTAATTGGTTGGCTGGTGACCTCTCTGTCAGTCAGCTAGCCTCACGTCTAACAATATCGATTGTGTGAGTGAGAAACTTCGTTACATTCAAAGCATGAGAAATAAAATAAAGAAAACAAAAAATATGAAACGCATAAATAATAAAACAAAAGGTGTGGAGACTAAAATAACCATTGGATATAAGAAAGGGAAAAAATTCAACACATTGTATAAGCATT